AATTTCACCTTTCCTAAAGGAATTACTACTTTGCCAATTTTACTAATTTAAGGCTCTCTCTGGATCAGCATCGCCTCGCCTGTCTACTATCTGCTTCACAACCGACTAGTGGCGCCTGGATCAACGCAGTAACCTCTTCATCTACCGGTATCCTTCTAGATGATGAGTGTACTCAAGTCGAAGTCGGGATCCGTCTTGGACTCAAATTATGTAAGCGTCACAGATGCAGATGTGGAGCCTCCATCGATGAGTTTGGTTTGCATCCTCTCCCCTGTCGTCGTAGTGCCGGTCGCTTTCCACGGCATGCAGCCATTAACGACATCATTAAAAGAGGTTTGGATGCAGCTGGGTTCCCTTCCCAAATCGAACCCGTAGGCCTCGACCGCGGTGACGGAAAGCGGCCGGATGGCATTACCATTTTCCCTTTTAAAATGGGGAAGTCGTTGATTTGGGATGCGCCCTGTGCTAATACATTTGCGGCCGGTAATTTGATCTGGTCCACGGTTGAGCCAGGATCTGTCGCCCGGGACGCAGAGATGAAAAAAATAGTTAAATATTCTTCTCTTGCTGATAGATTTTTTTTTACTCCTGTGGCAGTGAAGACATCAGGGGTTATTGGCCCTCGTTCGATGGCGTTCCTTCGGAGGATTGGCGCGATTGCGTCTCGATTAAGGGACGAGCCTCGCGAAACGGAGTAGTTCTTACAGTGTGTCTCACTGGCGATGGTTCGAGGTAATGCTTTCACCATCATTGCGGCCGGCAGAGGATATAAAAACATTGTTTATAGTTACGTTGTTCTGGAATTGTCATCAAAAAAATCACAGGTCGCATCCCAAATCAACGACTTCTCCATTTTAAAAGGGAAAATGGTAATGCCATCCGTCCGCTTTCCATCAACGCGGTCGAGGCCTACGGGTTCGATTTGGGAAGGGAACCCAGCTGCATCCAAATCTCTTTTGATGATGTCGTTAATGGCTGCATGCCGTGGAAAGCGACCGGCACTACGAAGACAGGAGAGAGGATGCAAACCAAACTCATCGATGGAGACTCAATTAACTAACTGAATATTTATGAGCGTTCTTAAATTTGATAATGTTGAGTGACCGTCAAATTTACACTTGTTGCAAAATAAAAACCATCATATTTGACTTGATAATGTTTGAGTGACGAAACTAAATATAGCTTAACAATTCATTTTGTTTCTCCTATAGATATACTCGATATGAAAATATTTACACACACACACATATATATATATTTTAAGACATTTTTATGTTTATACATTCTTTTTATAGATGGTATTTATCAATTCACCCACAGGAATTGAATGTGGCACAAGGCCTTTTTAATGTGGGTATGTCCGAGCCCGTAGGCCCAGCCAAAAATAAAACCCATCTAAACCCGTCCAAGCGGGCTAGTTCCGTCAACCTCCCCGAACGAAACCCCACCCTTCGGCGGAGCTTCGTCCGGGTTCCTCTCTGCAAGCAGAGAGTTCGACAGACACCCGACCCGGCAGCCCACAAAGCGCAGATCCTAGCCACCGGGCCGAGCGGGTATTCTTTTTATAGATACAAATATTTAAGTAAATGCTCTGTTTTATAATAAACAGTATTAATAACATTTATCGCTCTGAATGTCTGAGAAATTTTCATAGAAAATATTCGTCCTCCGACAGGAATTGAACCTGTATCCTATACGGAACCGTCATATACCCTGACATGCCTTAACCGATTCGTTCGATTAGCAAGGTCGATTTTACTGATTGACGTTTAAAAGCAGTAAAATCGACCTTGCTAATCGAACGATCCTCTCTGGCTCGATCGGTTAAAGCTATATGACTGTTTTGTATACGATACAGGTTCGATTCCTGTCGGAGGACCAATATTTTCTATGAAAATTTCTCGGACATTCAGGCCGGTAAATGTTATTAATACTGTTTATTATAAAACAGAGCATTTACTTAAAGAAGGAAATTACTGGAAAGTAATGGAAATTCACCTGAAGCGAGCTGAATGTGTAATGCTCCTCATGCCAATGACACTTCCACCGAGCTTCTCTACGGCATATGGCTTCACTGAATTTTGATGTGTTCCTCTCGAATTTATATTTAAATAGGGGTCATCAGGAGAGAATGTTCTTAAATATTTGTATCTATAAAAAAAATGTATAAACATAAAAATGTCTTAAAAATAATTTTGTCCATTTTTATATATATATATATATATATATATATATATATATATATATATATATATATATATATATATATATATCTGCCTGGTGAAGTTTCTGTATTTCTTATGGTATTCTTACACGGAATAACGTGATTGTTCCAACGTTTAACCTCTATACTTTGAAGAAGTGTTATTTTTACGGTCGGGATTTTATTTCCTTTAGACGACAAGGTCTTCCTATACTAACAAGTTCCATTTACTTTGAATATAAATATCCTACAATATATTAGAGTCATATATCAAAGTTCTGATATGCTTCCTAGCACATGATAAGTTTCCCATCTCAAATAACTTTGATATGTGTCCATAATTCTAACAACAAATTCGGCATCAGCGTACTCGTTTTAGTCTAGTACAGTATCATTTGATTGGTTTGCAGACAAAATGTTTTTGTTACCAACCGTAATCTTTAGTTTAAATATATGATTTGACGTATTAATTTGATAAGCCCTACCTATGAAACAACGGGTTCACTGGTAGCGTTTCAGAAGTCATCACAACTGGACTGACTTCTCCGAAGTACTTTTCCAGTAATATAAAGTCGGTTTCGCTTTTGTTGTCATAGCAAATTTGAAAAAGTATTTTCATCTCTGTTTCTCGAATAACGTTTTGTGTACCGGTTAGTTTAATATTCTTTAGTGCACACGCACACGCCCACACACACACATATGTGTGTGTGTGTGTGCGTGTGTGTACAGTTTTGCGTATAAGTTAGGAAAATGCCGAAGGTAAAGAAATAAATCGCAAAAGAAACGTAATATGATTGTAAAAACTATTTTATGGAGGTACCTCCATTCAATTTTTGGATACCTAAGGTTTAAAATGAATTTAAAAAAAAAAAAGAAGAAAAAATGAAGCCTTTTTAAAGATTTTATTTCAGCTTTAATTGAAAGCTAAGGATTAAATTTATTATTTCAAGTAAGTAAAATATTCTGGTGTATTTAAGATAGAAATTATATAGATTGGAATGTCAAATATATGGTCGATTTTTTCTAAATTTCTTAAAAGCGGCCATTTTCTTAAATTT